CAGTGAATTGCATAACTATTTTCCCCACAGTTTGCTGTTCCCTATCAATCGTTTCATTCATTCATTCATTGACTCATTTTTTCAGTGCATTAAATATTAGCAAACGAAACGATGAAACCATTTCTTTCTTAAACTCGAGTATTACACACAACACAGACATACAAACACATACAGAGATGTAGAGAAACTTATAAACAGAGAAAATAAAAATACCTTTTTTTCTGACCACCCCTTAGCATAACTTACAGTGCCCTCAATAGACGTGACTTCAGTCTAATGGTTAACTAACAGTGAGAAATGTATTGCATGTTCAGTGAATTATTTGTTTGATATGAAACCAGAAATAGCTGTCTATCTGTAAAACTCAGTCCTAGTCTATCCCTAGTTTACCGCCAAATATATATTAAAGCAGTGGTTTTATCTTTTGTTTAATATTAAAGGCAAAGAGGCTGTAATACAGGCTGTATTCATAACTGTATATATATATATATATATATATATAGTAACTATGAGATCCCTACAAGCAGTGCCATATGAAAGAAAAATAATATAAAAATATGAATATTAGGAAAAACTGTTGTTCCTGTTATGTTTTTTTCAATGTCTATCCCAATATCCCAATCCCCTCAATGAATGCATGTTTAATGGTTTGCCTTTTGCTGTGTTGTTCTCTTGTGTTAAAAGTTTTCATTTAATATTTATTCTCGACTTCACATTATATTTCAATGTTTGTCAAAAAAAATCGTGAAAAACACACCATTCATTGAAAATAGTTAAACATTTTTCAGACAGTGATTCGTATTTGAATTATTGACATTTTTGTTGCTTAAAAGACAGACACAAAATAAAGTCTCAGTTGAAACCTTATCCTAGGCTTCTGTTGTTTAATATATTATAAACAGAGTTAAGTTTGAAGATCTTCTAGAGATCCGTACATATATTGGTACAGATGGTCACCATTTCTGATAACAATAGAAGACAGGAGAAAAAGGAGAGAACAAATTGAATAGATTTTTCAAAAAGAAAGACATTGAGAGAGAAAGAGAGGACTGTTTGATATTATTGAGAGAAAATATGCTAATGAGAAACCTATGCATAGGTTAGGGTTCAATGCATTGCTGTTTTTCAAGAGATTAAGAGAAAAATATTTGCGACTAAACTCCTCTTTATGTATGTAATGTAACGCTTAATAATTTGTGCCATAAAAAACTTGGAGCCTATTATACAATGAAAGCATCCATTTTGAATCTCTTTCTCACTTTTCATTTGATTAAGTGATGCAAAAATATGTAATTTTTCTGCTCTCTTATTATATTATATTATAATACTTTATATTATACTTACAATTTTCTCTATAATATAAATCTTTATTGTTTATTATTAAAAAAAGTAAAGTAAAGATTTTAGTGAATATTTTTTAAAAGATGTGTATTTTATTAGCAATTTATACATAATATTAAAAGATGATGTCTTTTATTACATTATATCAATAACTATATAAAAATATATATATTGAAAAATTTTATATCAAATGAATACATTTATTGGCTTATCTATTGAACAAACAACACAATAGTTGATCATATGTTGAGCTCACTTGTAATTTAGTTTTATATATAAGTATACAATATATACAGTATATGTACTGCATAGATGGTGTGCCCAGTTTACACCTAACCTCCTCACACCTGGTCACTCAAGTACTGCATATTTACTTTCAAAAACTAAAGAACTTACAAATAAAAGACTTTTCATTTATTATCTCTCTTTCTCTTTCTTTCTCTTTTCACTCTTCTTTCTCTTTCAACTTCTCTCTCTCTCTCTCTCTCTCTCTCTCCTTAATATATATATATACAGTATATTCATTGACTGCTTTTATTTTCCCAAAGTCTTATATTTCTCAGACAATGAGCCCTAAAAACCAATGGTCCCTAAGTTTGGGTCAATTTTGTTCTCATAATGAAAATACAATTCTCTCACTATTTTCTCTGTAATTGTTATGTTTAAAAAATTGGCTAAAATATGTGCACTTGTTTTGAGTATTTGACAAAAAACTTGGTCTCTATTGTGTGTATATATATATATATATATATATATATATATATATATATGTTTGTGTGTGTGCACTGTATAAGCCATGATGTGTTGAACACTTATATTATTGACCACCGCTTGCAGGGAGAGAGAAATGACTCTCTCTCTCTCTCTCTCTCTTTCTTTCTTTCTTTTCTTTCTTTCTCATTGAGTGAATCTATCCCTCTATCTGTCTCTCTCTCCCTTAATAACCATTTTTCGATTTTAAAGCCAATCATTACTATTAAAAAAGAAATTCCATTTAAATTCGTGGCAAACATTCTTTAATTTTAGACTAAAATTTAAAGTATATTATATTATAAAGACTCACTATTTAGTATTAGTAGTGAGTCTAATGACTTTTGGTTCACTAAATTTAATAATAATTGTTAAGCAAAAGATCCGGGTTTTCATGAAATAAACAGAAAAAAACATTTTTTTGATCGACTCTTCAATTGAAAGCAAAGAATCAATTAAAACGAGACCATTGCTTAACATAAAGTATTAGTTCAATCCTTAACTGATTGACGCGTTTTTAATGTTTATAAGTCCTCTCTCTCTCTCTCTCTCTCTCTCTCTCTCTCTCTAACACACACACACACAATATACACATGGTTTGATGTATTAAATTTCAAATATTTTATAACTTTATAGATTAAATTTCACTTCTATATCTTTTTAATAGATTTTTTGTTTTAATTGATATTAAGTTCAAGTCTCACACATCTCTCGTAACTCAAAGGTTTGGCAATTGGAGAGTAAGAGACGTTGTGTCCAAATATTTTGTGATAAATTATTTTTAATACAGTTAGTGTGATCATCATTTAGTGATATATATATAACAGTTTTATTGTAATGATATTTGATTAAAAAATTTTAAAGTATATAATTGATTTATCCATATCATCGACATTAATAAATGGTATTAAAAAATCACAAAGTGTTGAATAAATAAAGAGTTTGCGCGATGGAAATAAAGATTTTTTACTTATATATATATATATATATGAGTTTTATGTGTTGTTATGTATGAGCTCTGGTAATAATTGTAGTGATGGGTAGGATTGAGAGCTGGGCTTCTTATAGTTAAATTTATTATTTCGCTTCTCATACATAGGCTTTTGATGAGATGACAGTGTTTTGTTGGATCGATATATTGTTTGTGAATAATAGTGATGGAGTATAGATGGCTGCTTATGATTGCTTACCAACAGTTAGGTGTGAGACTCGGGTATACAGTGTGTCTTCACTTACTCTGGTATTCAGTGATATAGCTATCGGTGCGGACACGCGTGCGCTTACATCTCTATGAGAGTCATAACGCGTTAGTTTCGGTGCATATGCGAGATGTGTTGAGGAGAGTCAACGGCATTAGAGGACGTGATTGAACTGATCGAGAGTTTAGTTGAGTTAGGCTGAGCTCAGAGACAAGCATTACCAGCTTTGGCACAAGCATTCAATTTTTCAATGCTCAATCTCTATGTGTAATGCTACCAGTGCTCAACACATATGATATACATTGCACATGCAGTCAATGATCATTTTTGCAATGAGTTAGTGAGTTACCATCACATCATATGCAGATGCCGTCTATTGTAATGTAATATATAGTTTGTATGTTATGTATGCCGTGTCTCTCACTGTCAACACTAGTATCGGCCCGTAAAGGCTTATGTATATGAACTTCAAAGTGCGGCCTTAACTTTAGTCCTAACTCAACAAAACAGTTCACTAAATATTTAAGAGTTATATTTATTAATCTTTACTACTAATTAATATATAAAAGTGTGAACACTATATCCAAAAGTTCCTATCAATCGCTCTCAACATTTAATATTCAAATTAAGTATTAAATAAGTATTTTGTGTAACGAGTGATGCCTAAGAAAAGTTCCTCAACTCTTGTATTACTAAAATCATTCAAATTATAATTCAATTGATATCATCTCTGACCACTCATTTGTCCTGAGCTATCACTTAAGGTAAGCTTACTTTTAGTTGTTTTAAAAAACACAACACAAGCATACCGTCACTATAAATGTGTGCTCTGTTTGCTATAAACCTCTCTCTCTCTTTCAAATATATATACATTAGTTGTAAAATCATTACTTGAATTAGTATTTTAATTGTTGAGCCCAAACATAGTAAATGTAAGCCCAAGACACCAGTTGTGTGTATTGTATCAAATAATTTAAACCACAAGTTATACATTGAGTGTTGTATCTGTAATTAAAGTGAAGACCCCATCAAATGCATTCATTCATTGCTTATTCATAATACCATTCATTGCCTCAATTGTCTCAAGTTTTTAAGCTTCAAATAACATAACATTTTTGATTCATTGAATTCATCTCTTTCTCTGTAATGTCTATTGTTTGAAACATTCATTACACTCACCCCTCAATTGTATTGTTTTTTCAATACATCACTCTCTAACACATTAGATAAATATATATAAATACTTTGATAATACCTTTAGCAGTGGCACAGGCAGCCAAACGACAAGGTTGTAATCAATGTGTAATTGAAGGCCCAATAAAATGTTGGCCGCAATCGGATTGGATGTCGAGTTTGAATTGAACTTAAATTAATTACTAAATGCAGATATCCTTGAGTTGGGCGGACTTTCACTACTATTATTATTCATTAAAAAATCATTTAAAAATTTATTAACTTTTTTTTCATTCAAACTTAGTATGTATTTGTCTCATAATTGAAAAATTCAAATTAAAGCTAATTCAAGCAAATGTAAATTTTTCAATTATTTATTATAATTATTTATTTTGTAAAACAAATATATAAAATTGTTTGATATCAATAATACAATGTATTTGTGACATATAGTCATTGTTGATATTGTATATAAGTTTTTATCTATCTGTGCTAAAACTGTCACACATTGTATATATTGACTGTTTTGATGATATCCATAGCACGTGGTTTGAAATGCTTGAGATGAGAGATGTGAGAGATGTATGCCATCAATAGTAAAGTCTCTCTCTCTCTCTCTCTCTCTCTCTCTCTCTCTCTCTCTCTCTCTTCTCTCATATGTTTATAATGTGTGTTATTGAGTGAGTGTCTCATCAGAAGTGGTACCCAATAGTCAACACGTTTTACTTCTTTTTATGGCTGCACTCAACTATCAACAGTGTCTACAATACAAGTACTGCAACTAAACATAAGCAACAAAAGGTATAAAGCGTTTATTGTAACAAATAAGACAAGCATTAGATCTGTGAATGCGATTGTGTTTTTGTCTAACATTAGTCTCTGTCGTGTTTTGTCCGCTATTATTGTAGTATTGATTGTAAACCACGTGTTTGTTAGTGAAATACATTTGACATAAAGTGCTAGTTTTGTATAATAGTAATGACAACTAACTAATATTTATAGTAATTTTCATAAATGTTATAATGATTGAGCTCTTGTGCTAAACAAATGTCTATCCATTGCTTAACATTAAGACTATTCCTTATCTTTGATAGCACTGTATTACTGACCAAATAATGTTTAACTCGACTCTAATGTTGACTTATACTTAATGTTAAGAAACTAATACTAAGAAATGGTTTTTGCGGTAATCTAAGAGCACTGCTATTACCAGTTGTTTTGTTGGCTATGGATGGCTGTCCTTGGCTGCTGTCAGTCCTATTGTTTGTTTAAATGTTGACTTTTCATTGATAATTATGACGCATAGCTTAAGACTAAACAGTGAGGTATATCTAAAACATTAAATTGAATATAAGTTTTAATGTTATTGAATACTGTAGTACAGTATGTATTGCCTTATTAGCGCTACATAACTAGTATACATGTATATTAAATGTTGTCAGAGATTATAATTAATATTTAAATTAAAGGACATTAAATGTTAGACTTTTCCTGCTTTTGTGAGACCCAATCAAACATCACATTATGATTATTATTATTAATATAAATATAATGAACGACAAGAACTTAATTTAGAGACAACTTATATCATAACAGCGTAAAGCACTGGTAGGCACTCATACATTCATATTTATACATAGACTGTGGGAGAGTCGACTATTTGCAATAACATTAATATTTCGCTGCTTTTGTTAGTCTTAGGCCAGTTATGTCTATGTTTGCGATGCTTTTTCATAACATATCGCAAAGTTATATGCATTATATTTGAGGGATTCATATAACTTATATGTAATTTTGCAATCTCTACACAAAACACTGTCCCTAACACTGTTGTGCTTACAGTTTACTATTAAAGCCGACAGTATGTAAGCCCCAAATGAGTATGCAATGGGTAGGAGATTCTGGTGACTATTACTATCATAAAGAAAGAGGGATGAAAGTGCAGGGGATTAATGGGTTATCGTTAATATAATATATAATAACAATATATATATATGAAGAGAGAGAGAGAGAGCGACTACTTTATAAATGGATGAATGATATAAACATTTAGAAATACATTTGCCATTCAATGGTTTCTCCGAAATACGAGTGCAGGAGATGTGAACCAAACTCTAGACTCACACATAAATTGTGCTCTCATTTCATGATTTTATATCTCTGTTTTTACTCCTTTTTTGTTCACATAACTCATATTCATAACTTAATTATTTAGTCAATACATCTATATATTAAATTTAAATTTATAACCTTTTTAATGATTTTTCATTTTTATATTTGAATGTTTATTAAATAAAATGTTAATCTCTAAATTGAAACCATTTTTCAAAATTAGAGAAATATATTTTAGCAAAAAATAATTATATAAATAAATTGAATGCAAATTATTGAATAAATTTAAATTGCATATTGTTTATTGTTGCTTATAATGTTTATTAACAAACAGAAAACATGATAAAATTATTTGTTAAATAAAGTTGTAATCAATTAATTGAGTGAATATGACCATCGATGGTGTGAAAACATATACATCAAAACGGATATATGTATGATCTTAGTGTTATTTTTGTGATGTTTGGTCAGTAGAGGCATACAAAAGCAAACGTTGACCACATTTCCGATCTAAAGACTAACTATTTTTGTTAAATACAAACACTAGCAATAAAATGATATACATATGATGTTTAGGCAAAAATAAGAGCGAAAGAAATGTATAAATAAAAATAGGATTAATTGTGGCAAAAATAAAGAGACTCAATGAGTATATGTTTGGTATATTCATCTCACGCACAGTCATCTCACATGCAATTCATACAATATTTTCAATATAATGTATACAGTATGTTGTTAGCCTCCCATCTCTATCTATCTATCTATCTATCTATCTATCTCTTGTTTAGTTGTAATATCTGCCAACATATTGAAACACATTCACCTGTAAATTCAAATGATGGACATATTAGTCACGGCCTGTAGATTATGGTGTGTGTGTGTGTCTGTAGTTTTTAAATGATCAGCAAAAGTGTAATTAGATTTAATTAATATTTCTGGACTGTTGAACACAATAGCTGTTTAAAAGAAGGGCTTAAAATTGAAACTTTCTTTTCTTTTAACTATTAATGTCTAACAAACAACAACTCGGGTCTCAATTGAAATTTCATTATTAAGAAATGTTAGTCTAAAAGGTAAACCCAAAACATGTTGAGGTCATTGTCGCTGAGGCTTTAATTTCTTAAGGTTGAAATTGTCAGCATTGATAACTGACAGTCATATGTAAGCACTGGTATTTGTAGTGTTGTGGCCACTGTTATGCTATGATTGCTTTTGTAATTTTTATTATTGGTTGTGTATTGATTGGCTATAATAGCCATCACTTGCTTTTCTCAATGTTTGGTAACGATGTGGACGCCAGTGATCTCACACTACACTCATATCAATCACTATTATTTTACAACCAATTTATTGCCTCTATTTTTCTTTATATATGATTATTATTATTAGTAGTGTATTATTTTTTTGTACACCACTTCTTTAAAAACATACACATAAATTAGTTGTTATTTTCGATATCCGGTTATTCAAACTAATTATGTTTCATGTGTTTCATACATAAATATAAATATGTTTTTATACATACATTCATACAAACTCTCAAAAAATACTAATAATTCTGAGTCTTGTTTTGCATCTAATTCTTATATTACTCACTCACACATAGCTTTCAATCTTTATATTATATATATTTATATATTAGTTAGCGATTTGACAAACACTAGAGTTACCAAAATAGTTGTATAAATAGATTTTATGTTTTTCAATGTTGTCTCTCAACTCAATGCTTGTTAACCTAACTTTTTCACTCATTCAGTCACTCACTCACTCACTCTCTCATTCATTCATTGATTCCTTCACTCATTCATTGACTCAATCTTTCATCCAAACAGATGAACATATATTTGGTCTCTTGTTTTTATAACACATTTTGCACACATTTATCTCTTTTAGAGTACAAACCCATTGAAATAGTGGTACACTTTTGTTGTTGTGACTGTTGACGACTGGTTCACTAAATAATGAGTAAACATAGAGTTGCCAACACGTTATGTAAGAATTGAAAAAATTCATTTTTTGTCTACTATTTTATTAATAGCATTACTTATTATTAAAGCCCAGACCAATGCTTATATGACTATCTATATGTCTTTGCTTACTATTCCTCGAAGTTAGTCTTGTAGTCTAATATTGAAGAAGTGTGTGGCAGTTATCGTCATGTCTTTACCAATGAGCTCCCTGTGCTGGCTCTCAATCCTCATTTAATAAGTTATCCTCCATTTTCTTATATTCTTTTATGCAAAAAGCGATCGATTGGAGAGAGTATTAAGGCTTTAGTGTTTAGTGAATGAATGAAACAGCAGTTATGAGATGTGCACTGAAGGGATGTCAGAAATGTGCGGAACGACAATACATATATACATTCATATAGTTATAGATATTATTTGATATAATATAATAATAAAAATAAAAAGTGGTGCTAATCAACAACCATATTGCGCTCCGACACTCTCTACACAGTCTGTACTACTCAATAGTGTCAGTAAAGATTGCTTTTGAGTGTGAATTTGTCGATTCATTAATAGTAGTGTTAGAGAGTTGCGTGCAATTAAAGACATTGCAATGCAATTAAGCACTGAGTGTTAATTCCAGTGCTTTTAGTCGTTCCCTTAGAGAGAGATTTTTAATTGTCAGCCAATAAAGACAACGATGTTGTCATGTCTTGTCTTATATAATGACATGTTATGTGTGTGTGTGTGTGTTATACAGCATTTGCATACTTATACAGCATTATAATAGCATTGAGCACTCGGTTAGCAGGTTTTATAAAAAAATAAAATTCAAAACTCATAATCAAAGAGCGTTTTATTAGAAATTATGGAAAAATAATAAGAAAACATTTAAGAAAACTGGAATTGCATTTAAAATACACTAAACATTAGTTGATTATTGGAAAGGTGTTTATGAAAAATGTCTCAGACTTTGTTAAACACATTAAACAAGCGATAGAAGTGTATGGCTATCTGTTTTGGTTAAATGGTATTTCTTGTTTTAAGAGATATTAGCCAACGCCCAGTGCCAAAGCATTGCCAAACCGACCCCACAGGTGTCATAAACCACGGCCCAACCCGCTATCGAGGAGGTCTAGCAATAATTAAAGCAAAGAAATAAAAACCACAGATATGTTGTGTTTTAAGTCAAAGACCTCACTATATATCTCAAGCAATAGAGAGTTGAGTTGTGTTTGAGTTGACAGCCGGAACTCAACCGCAACTCAATTCAACATTTTCTTAATTCCCAAACACAACAACACATTAAATACCAATGCAGTCAAACATTTTTAATATTGTTTTTAAACATTAATATTAATAAAACTAAATATGCAAAACATTTCTAAATATGGTAATTCATAAATATTTTGTCATTAATATATTCGCGTTTAAAAATTATTATAAAACAATCTCTCATTTGCCTCTCTTTCTCTTATTATTCATGGCTTAAGTCATAAAAATATGAAAAACACATTAAGAGCACAACAAATAAGACAAACGAATTATTAATTAGTTTTTTCTGTTTTTATCTCTAAGTCTTTACTCAAAAAGCAAATTCCTCTCTCATTCACCAAAATATTAATTCTTATCTTTATATCTCTCTGGCGTTGTCTATAATAATAATAATAATAATTATTATTATTATTATTATGCGAAACTTCTACTAATAAATAATTGCTTTTCCATGCAATTCGTTAA